CGTTGGTGGGGTTCAGAATGCTCTTTGATTGTTGGTGAACTATAAATCCCAGCAACTACAACTCCCAAATGATAAAATCAATCTCCCGCAACCCCACCAGTATTCAAATTTGGGTGTATTGGGTATTTGTGCCAAATTTGGTCCAGTGCATGAAAATACATCCTGCATATCAGATATTTACATTAGAATTTATAAAGTAGCAAAATTACAGTTATGAAGTAGCAACGAAAATGTTATGGTTGGGGGTCACCACAACATGAGGAACCTTATTAAGGGGTCGTGGCATTAGGAAGGTTGAGAAACACTGGTATAGTACAATATAGTAATATATAATACTGATATTATTGTACTATGCTAATAGTATAATGTATTGTATGTATATCTATCTTGTAAGCCACTCTGAGTCCCCTTCAGAGTGAGAAGGGCAGCAAATAAATGTCATAAATAAATAAAATACATGAATTCAAGATTCAACTCATCAAAGTAGGGCCAAATGCCCACTGAAGACCAAGAAGCCAGGAGTCATGATTTGGACAGAATAATGAGCTTTCTATTCTGATGAGTCTTCTCATCTGGTAGGCAAATGTATCTATATACTATATATCATATCTATTGTTATTTCTAGCTGCCTTGCTTTGTGGAAACTCGGAACTGGATCCTGACTATACTTCTGTTCATCTTTCTATCTTGGTTTTCCCAGTTACTCCCTTATTCCCCAGCATCTTGAATTCTAGACATGCAGCTTCTCTCCTCGGGAAGTATAACACAATTGACTATTTGGGATTTTGTCACAGCCGGTGGCAGAACGTTCCCGGGTTCCCACTTCACCTGGTGTCTTCACCTCCGAGGGGTGCCCAGTGGTACGATGGTTGACAGCCAAGATGCGGAACGCATACACCACCGCAGGATCTAATCCGCCCAGTTTCTGGTCACGAGTATCTGGGTCAATATCACTAGCTACTATTTCCCAGGAGATATCCAGCTGCTTTTTGGTGGCCTTTTTGGCCTCTCGCCTCTGAACCACAAAGCCAGTCAGGTTCCCTGAGCCTTGGGTTTGCCACTCCAGTTCCACCTCCGTGCGGTGACGCATGTACATCAGCTTGCTAATGGTCACATTCGGTGGAGTGGGATACTCTGAAAAGCAGGCAAAGAAAGCCTGATTACTAATTTATTTCTCTCATCAATATAATCAATATATTATTAACTAATTGTAATTAGTCAAACTTTATTAAGTAATTATAGCAGAACTTTTAAGATTAACTGATTTGTTTTAGCACTAGCTGTTCCCGCTATGCGTTGCTGTGACCAACCTTCCCCCCTTCTTTCTCTCCTTCCTTCCCTCCCTCTTTCCTTCCTCCCCTTTTTTTCTTTTCTTTCTTATTTCTCCTCTTCTTTCTTCCATCTCTACCTTCTTTCTTTCCTCCATTTCTTTGCTCTTTGGTTACATCCTTCCTTCTCTCTTTCCTTCTTTCCTTCTCTACCTTTCTTTCTTTCCTTTCTTCTCTCCTTCCCTCCTTCCTTCTTTTCCTCTTTCCCTCCCTCTTTCTCTCCTTCCTTCCCTCCCTCTTTCCTTTCTCTCTTTCTTCCATCTCTACCTTTTCTTTCCTCCCTTCTTTGCTCTTTTGTTACATCCTTCCTTCTTCTTTCCTTCCTTCCTTCCTTCCTTCCTTCCTCTTCTTCCTCCTCTTCTTTCTTTCGTTTCTTCTCTCCTTCCTTCCCTCTGTTTTCCTTTCACTTTTTTATTTTCTTTTCTCCTTCCCTCCTTCTCTACCTTTCTTTCTTTCCTTCCTTCTCTCCTTCCCTCCTTCCTTCTTTCCCTCCCTCTTACTCTCCTTCTTACTCTCCTTCCTTCCCTCCCTCTTTCCTTCCTTCCCTTTTTTTCTTTCCCTTCTTATTTCTCTTCTTCTTTCTTCCATCTCTACTTGTTTCTTTCCTCCCTTCCTTTGCTCTTTGGTTGCATCCTTCCTTCTCTCTTTCCTTCCTTCCTTCCTTCCCTCTCTCTGTCTTTCTTTTCTTCTCTCCTTCCTTCCCTCTGTCTTTCCTTTCACTTTTTTATTTCCTTTTCTCCTTCCTTTCTTCTCTACCTTTCTTTCTTTCCTTCCTTCTCTCCTTCACTCCTTCCTTCCTTCCCCCTTTCCCTCCTTCATTCCTTCCCTCTTTCCCTCCTTCTCTCATTACTTCTGGATTGTCCCTTCCAAGTCTATTCTAGGAGTCCATTAATATAGTAGTATATAATAGTAACATATTATATACTACGTGGGGTTGCCTTTGAAGACGGCTCGGAAGCTCCAGCTAGTCCAACGCTCGGCAGCCATGATACTAACAGGAGCGGAGCGCAGGGAGCGTACAACTCCCTTGCTGCACCAGCTCCACTGGCTGCCGATCTGCTACCGGGCTCAATTCAAAGTGCTGGCGTTGGCCTATAAAGCCCTAAACGGTTCTGGCCCAAGCTACCTATCCGAACGTATCTCTACCTATGAACCTACCAGGACTTTAAGATCTTCTGGGGAGGCCCTGCTCTCGATCCCGCCTGCATCACAAGCACGGCTGGCGGGGACGAGGGACAGGGCCTTCTCTGTGGTGGCCCCTCGGCTGTGGAACGCCCTTCCCATGGACATTAGATCAGATCCTACGTTAATGGTGTTTCGAAGAAAACTAAAAACCTGGCTGTTTGAACAGGCATTTGGTAAACAGTGCAATGAATGTGATGATTACAGGAATGGAAATTTGGACGACGGATTGGATCACGACTCTAGTTATGAGATGCATTGTGTTGTCTATTGTTGTGTCAATATTGTATATTATGCTTTTATGGTTTTAAATTGTATATTGTTGATTGATTCTTATCCTTGTTGTAAACCGCGTTGAGTCACCTGTTGGGCTGAGAAACTGCGGTATACAAGTAAAGTAAATAAATAAATAAATTATATAGTAATCTATATAACAGTAATATAGAAAATATGGTAATTATATATTTATATATAGATAGATTATATGTTTTATAATATATATTATAGTTGTATGTTATGAAATACATATGTATTATATAGCAATATATAAAATAGTAATATATAAAGTATTGTAAGCTTTGTGTGTGTGTGTGCGTGCGCGCGTGTGCGCGTGTGCGCGTGTGTGTATGTGTGCCCAACAGGTCATGCTTGGCCTCATGTAAGCCGCTCTGAGTCCCCACTGGGGAGAGGGTGGCGGGGTATAAATAAAGTTGTTTATTATTATTATTATTATTATTATTATTATTATTATTATTTATTCAACCAACATCCATAGACATATATATGAGTCTACACTGCCATATAATTGTGCAGGAGGGAGGGAAAGGGGGAAGGAAGGAGAGAAGAAAGGAAGGAAGGAAGGAAGGAAGGAAGGAAGGAAGGAAGGAAGGAAGGAAAGAAAGGCAGAGAAGGAAGGAAGGAGAAAAGGGAATTAAAAAATTAAAGGAAAGAAAGAGGGAAGGAAGGAGAGAAGGAACCCTAAAATGAATTCAATTACTATTTCTGAATAATTCTTGTCAATTTTAACTCTAGGATAGGGTTGCTGTAAGTTGGAATTATGTAGAAAGCACATTTGAAAAAGCAAAGTGATAAGTCACAAAAGCTCATACTAAAATAGAGCAGTCAGCTTTTCCATTTTTTTTACATATGTATACTAGGCCTGGGTAACAACGGAAAAATTTGTTTCTAAAATCTATTCGTTTTTTGGGGGGTTTTGCGTTTCGTTATTTAAAATAATTACAAAATTTTCCTTTTAAAAAGTTCGATATTTACGAAATTTGGTAAATGTGAAAAAAATTACAAAACATTAACGAATCGATTTCCGAAACAATAACGAATCAATTCGTTAATGGTGGACGCGACCGCGAAATACGCTAAAAAACCTCCAAAAACTTCTGAAGCTTCCCTCTCCCTCTGTTGTTGACTGTTGGTGTGATATTATAATTTTTTTTTCACTAATTAAACAAAAACAACCATAAAACTTGCCCCAGACATGCGGAAATAATAACGAAACGACCTCAAAACAATAACGAAACGAATGCAATAACGAAATACGAAGCATTTACAAAACTATTTAAAAATTCGTTTTTTAAAAAAATTGCTCCAGAATGGTTTGTTATCGTTTTGTAATTAAAAAAATTAACGAATTATTAACGAATTACGAATTAACGAAACGAAACCGCCCAGCCCTAATGTATACATATGGGATATTAGGCCTCTCTTAATCAAATTCTATTCCATGCATTAATTTTGCCTAGAATATGTAAACAGGGGGTTATTTGGCTTATCTGAACATTCATTTACTTACTCTTAACTTGCAGGTTGACAAAGGCAGAGGCATTGCCCACGGCATTGATGGCAGCGCAACGATAAATGCCACTGTCCTTCATCCACTCTGTATCCTGCAAGGTCAAGTTGAACCAAGCATTCTCCTTCTGCAGTCTGTATTTCTTGGCATCAGATCTAATGACTTGGTTCTTGTTGTTGTACCAGAAGACTTCTGAGCCCAGATAAGCCGTTAGGAGGTGACAAGCCAACTGGACCCCATTGCCTTCAAAGAGTGTCACCTTGGATCTCTCCACTACAAGTCTGGGAGGTTCTGCACAGAAAAACAATAGGACGTATGGTTTGTACTGATGATAAAACATTGGCTTGAACACTTGGTTCTCAGAACATCATTTTAAGAAAGAAATCTGTAATAACAGATAACATAAATATATGGCGTTCCATCAATATTATTATACTTTATATAAATGCCCAGATATTTCTTTGGAGAAAGTAAGTGAATAATATCTAGGGAAGCAGAAGTCACCAAAGACAAAGCCTCGAAGACAGATTATGAATAGTTTGATAAGAATGAGGAAAATTTGTGATGTTATTAAAAAGTCCAAAATAGGAAAGGCACCTGGGCCAGATGGGTTGTTGGCATTTTTTTTTATCCAGACAGGAAAATGATGAAATTTATGATGAAATTTAAACTTGCAACTTATGTTTAATCTCTGTTTTGCATATTTTAATATGTATTTTGTGGAAATATGTTTTAATACATGTATTTTAAAGAATGTTTCTAGATGAATGTGTGTTTTAGGAATGTTGTAACCTGCCTCGGGCCTTGAGGAGAAGTGGTCAAGAAATAAATCATCACCATCATCATCATCATTTGAAACACAAGATGAGTCCACAGACACTCTGCTGGCTGTTGTATTGGATCACATGTCAGACACTTCCCAAGTATCTAGGACTGTGTGATGTATCGGCGAATAATGCGTGCAGATCCCAGTAAGGTGGCCTTCTGCAACTGGCAGATGGTAATTTTGTCAGCGCAGATTGTGTTTAAGTTCAGGCCAAGGTCTTTAGGCACTGCACTCAGTGTGCCAATCACCACTGGGACCACCTTTACTCGCTTGTGCCAGAGTCTTTGCAATTATTATTGTTGTTGTTGTTATTATTTACAAATATAAATACTTTAAATAAATAAATAAACAGTTTGGTTTGCTCCTGACACGATAAATAAATAGTACAACCCTCATACTAAGGCCAGTGTCTTGTTGGTGACTTACACACATGTATAAGTCCCTTTTTGGTCAGGGCATATAGAGAGTTAGTCTCTTGTCCTTGTGCTCCATCCAAAAACTTCTCGTGCCTGGCAGTGTTCAATCCCCAGGAGGGGTTGGCGCTGCTCCTCCTTAGTAGAGGAAAGGGTATGGAAGAGGAGATCATTCAGAGCATGGAGATTCTGCTGTTTTCAGCTCCTGGGGGGAGGAAAAGAGAAGTGCACACCATTTGAGTGCATACCCTTGCTCCTTCCCTCCCATCCCAACCAAACTGAAACTCTATGCTGAATCACCTCCCCATTCCTTCTGTTTCCCACTAGGAAGCAACAGGAACATGGACTTCTGCCAGGTAGTGGGAGAATAGGGAACTATGGAGTGGGGTTATGTGCATGTGTAGGATCTTATCTCAAATATGTAACACGCAGGTTCTTAGAAGAATAGAAATTAGATCAACCCCTCCCTCTTGACTTTTAGGAAAAGGCTAAAGATGTATGACCAAGCATTCAGTGCAATAAGAAAATATGGAATAGTGCATGACAAATTGTAAAGGCCATGGACTATGGTATTGGATTGCGTGATTTTAAATAAGAAGAGAGATATTGACAAGCTGGAATGTGTCCAGAGGAGGGACTAAAATGATCAAGGGTCTGGAGAACAAGCCCTATGAGGAGCGGCTTAAGGAGCTGGGCATGTTTAGCCTGAAGAAGAGAAGGCTGAGAGGAGATATGATAGCCATGTATAAATATGTGAGAGGAAGCCACAGGGAGGAGGGAGAAAGCTTGTTTTTTGCTTCCCTGGAGACTAGGACGCGGAACAATGGCTTCAAACTACAAGAAAGGAGATTCCATCTGAACACGAGGAAGAACTTCCTGACTGTGAGAGCCGTTCAGCAGTGGAACTCTCTGCCCCAGAGTGTGGTGGAGGCTCCTCCTTTGGAAGCTTTTAAACAGAGGCTGGATGGCCATCTGTCAGGGGTGCTTTGAATGCAATTTTCCTGCTTCTTGGCAGGGGGTTGGACTGGATGGCCCACGAGATCCCTTCCAACTCTATGATTCTATGATTCTATGTACCATGCTAATAATATAATATATATTGTGTGTGTATGTGTGTATCTTGTAAGCCGCTCTGAGTCCCCTTCGGGGTGAGAAGGGTGGCATATAAATGTCATAAATAAATACATATTTATTTGGAGGAATTAGATCTTACTGTCATAAGATCCTGTTGATTCTGACTTCAGAAACTAAATAGTATGAGGCCTGGCTTCTGCTTGGATAGGAGACCTCCAAGAAACACAAGGGATTTCCAGGTAGGACTAGAATAGATCTCGCGTGAATCCCCGGAGAGCCATTGCAACTATCAGAGTTGCCAACAGTGGGTTTATGGGTTTACTCTGTCCCTCCATTCTTATTCTGGTATCTTACACAAGGAAACTATGTCTGACTCCAGTCCTTTCCCATACATACATGCACTCACTCGCCTGCTTACCCAGTCGGACATGGCACTTGGCAGTTTTTGCCCGAAGAGGATGAGCAGCCATACAGGTGAATTCCTTGCCCCCTAGAGTGGTGTTGGATTTCATGACGAAGATGTTGTGGGATTGCTTCAGCCCACCCAAGACATGGTCCCTCCAGTCTCTCCACCAAAGGGTCACCCGGGGCTCTCCACCTGCCCAGTCACAGGTCAGCATAAGGAACTCATTCTGCTTCGTTGCCACTGCACTGCATGATGGGCTCCCACCTGGAACCCCTGCAGCAGAAATAACACATTAGAGAAAGAGACAGTAGAGTGTGCAGCCTACTGTCCTTGAATATGAAGCATTCCATTCTTTCAGTGCTCTGGGGCACACAAGGACACTCTGGAACCTTTTTGAATTGAAACTAGAAGTGACGATCTATAGAACACACTCGGACTGCACTCAAACTACAGGAAAGGAGATTCCACCTGAACATGAGGAAGAACTTCCTAACTGTGAGAGCGGTTGCACTGGGACTGTGGCATAGCTGGCTGGGAGTCAGCTGCATTAAGATCACTACTGACCGAAAGGTCATGAGTTCAAAGCCAGCCCAGTTCTGTCAGACTGTACGATCTATATTGCAATATTAAATAACCACTCACAAGCCGTTTTTGCTTTGAAATGGATATATTGCTTGTATCTCTGGAGCAAAGAAAGACACGACTGATTTTTCCCACCACCACTTCCTTTTATACATCTTTCCTGCCCATCTCCCCCCTCTTCTCAGTTTCCTTATTAGACCTTGTTTCTTCACAAGTTCCAATACAAGGTTTCTAGCACCCTCTGCTGACTTCAAAATGTCACAGAGAGAGAATTGATTCAGCCAGGATTATTCAGTCAGGATATCACGGAGGGAATTTGTGATGTCTTCATGCCATCAGAAATTGACTCCTGACAGGGTCGGAGTGAGCTTCTGACCAATTTGTGTAGCTTTCTGATGACCTTTGCAACTCGAAAGACAGTATTTATTTATTTATTTACTTTATTTGTATACCGCTGTTCTCAGCCCTTAGGCGACCCACAGCAGTTACAGTATGAAATTTAGGTACCACTTATGCAGAAAGGCTAATTTATGACGCCATAAAAATCTCCAGCAAGCATGCAAAGAATGAGGAAGTACTTCATCAGTGTAACAAATGAATGATGAAGCAACAGCTCCCCTGGTGGCCAGAATACCCTCGTAAAAAAGCTGGAATGTTAAATAGCCTGTGTGTGTCTGTCTATATATGTCGTGTGTCTATGGTATTGAATGTTTGCCATGTATATGTACATTATAATCTGCCCTGAGTCTCCTGCGGGATGAGAAGGGCGAAATATAAATACTGTAAATAAATACATAAATAAATAGCTTGCTGTCGACCTTTGCAGTCCGAAAGACAGTTGCATCTGTCAAGTTGATAATTTAGGTATCGCTTATGCGGGGAGGCTAATTTACGATGCCATAAAAATCTCCAGCAAGCATGCAAAAAATGAGAAAGCACTTCACCGGTGTCACAAATGGACAGTGAAGCGACAGCTCCCCTAGTGGCCAGAATACACTCATGAAAAAGCTGGAATGTTAAATAGCCTTTGTGTGTCTATCGATATATGTTGTGTGTCTATGGCATTGAATCTTTGCCATGTATACGTACGTTGTAATCCACCCTTAGTCCCCTGTGGGGTGAGAAGGGTGGAATATAAGTACTGCAATTAAATAAATTCAGCAGTGGAACTCTCTGCCCTGGAGTGTGGTGGAGTCCCCTCCTTTGGCTTTTAAAGAGAGGCTGGATGGCCATCTGTTGGGGGTGCTTTGAATGCAATTTTCCTGCTTCTTGGCAGAATGGGGTTACACTGGATGGCCCACGAGGTCTCTTCCATCTCTATGATTCTATGATTTCCAGGTGGTCAGGACTAAGAAAGTCAGCAGCGCCAACCAATGTACCAAAGCAGACCCTTCTTCCTTCATTGTTAGTACTCACACACTGTGGTCCTGCAGATGGCATCCTTTTTCAGCGCAGGGTGGGAAGCCAGGCAAGTGTATGAGGTCCCATTGTGGACATCCATGCCCCGGTGAATCTGGGTTATGTTGGAGTAGGTTGCCATATGGTTTCCTTCCTTTCTGGATTTGACCCACTGCAGCCGCACCGGTGGGAAGCCCCCCTGCCACGAACAGTGTAGAGCAAGGTCTCGGAAATTGGCAGCTGGCAGCGGTATGCAGCTGGGCTTTCCTTGAGGCAAATCTGCGCATGGGGGCAAACATCGTATCAACAGAAACGAGCCAGCAGATGAAGAGAAATTTCTTTTTGTGGAGGAGAGTGAGATTCCCTCAAAGGCTGTTCTAGATAGTATATTTCTACATGATGCTGTTGTGTGTGCATTGTCTTGCTAGGGAAAGAGCATCATATAGTTAGGTCCTTGTAGGAAAAAAGTTTGAGAACTCCTCAGTGGATGTAATCTTTGTTACATCAGACATTGGACATCACAGTGAAATGTGACTGCCTGTCCGAACGTATCTCCTGTTACGCGCCATCATGACATTTAAGATCATCTGGAGAGGCCCTGCTCTCAATCCCACCGCCATCGCAAACGCAGTTGGAGGGGACAAGGGACAGGGCCTTCTCGGCAGTGGCCCCCCATCTGTGGAACTCTCTCCTCAGGGACATCAGACTGGCCACCTCCCTCCTGACTTGGCTATGGGACCAGTGAATAGCGGCAAGTGGAAAGAAGACTTAGACAACTCGTGACAATGAATTAACCCAGACTAGGATTTGGTTTTTAACTGGCGTGTTTAATCAATTGTTTTAATGAATTGTTTTAATGTATTTGTTGAATGTTTACGATGGTGACGGCTTGTTGTGAGGCCGCCCTGAGTCCCCCCTCGGGGGTGAGAAGGGCAGGGTACAAATATAGGAAATAAATACTGTTCACACAACTACTACGACTATTTATTTCAGATATTTGTACCCCACCATTCTCAACCCCCGGGGGGAACGACTCAGGGCGGCTTCCAGGCGGCAACAATTTGATGCCTCCAATGTACACATGTGCCGTCACACCCAGACCCTATAAAAATAAAACTAAGATGTGCTTCTCTCTTTGTCTGGGTGGACCACGGGGGTATTTCTTTAGAAGCTTGAGATTCCCAGCAACTGAGGCTACTACAGGCTTTGAACATCAAAACAGAATATTTATTTCTCAAAGTCCTTGCAGACTTGGCACAGCTTGTTAAAGTTACATACAAAACAGTCAATTGGTGAAACCACAGAGATGATCTTTCTTTCTCTTTCCTTCAGTTACTGAGGTGCCTTCATCCAAATGGTAGAAAAAATCCGGAGACCTTTTTACCCCAACCCTGAGCCACTATCTTTTAGAAAGCGTAGGCCTTCCCATATCCCAGCCCAAGATTAGTTTTGGAGATGAAGCTAATAATGCTCAATAACTATTTCTCAATAACTCAATATCTATAACTCAATTGCTCAATTACTCAATTGCCATTCTATCTATCGGTCTCAATTAGCTTCTTTATCTATAGTATCTCAATCTGCTTCTCTATCTAAATAACTCAATCAGTATCTCAATCTCAATCTTTCTACCTAGTTCTCAATCGTTTTTACAATGGTTTTTTCAGAGTTACCTGCCTAACCAACAGCACATCTGAAGCTTTCTTTCTCTACTGAAGGAGGCAGGGGAGATTCCAAAATGGAGATCTCAACCGAGGAAAAAAGGCGGTCCCTAGACCCAGAGAGATACTTTTCTAAACCAATAATTGCAGAGGGCCTGCAGTCTGGCTTTGCAGACTCTGATACTGCTTAACTTCCAGGGTGCTGCTGGGTCTGTAGCAGCCCTGGGGAAATGCAAAAGAACACTATCCCATGCAACTAAAAGGTAATGCAAAGTATGCTCCTGGAAGACGGAACAACACATAATAAAATACATAATGAAATCCAATAATTACATACATTTAAAACATTAAATCACATTAATTAATTAAAATCAGCCTGGTGGCCTTATCTGAGCCGAATTCTATAGTTAGAGACTCCATCAAGCATGTCCATAGTCCATTTCCATAGCGATTGTCATCATTGTCACTGTCATTTTCAGCAAGATCACCTGAAGACCTGGTCCCACATCCACATTTTTAACTTCTTTCTATTCTCAATACAGAAGCAACCACAAGCAAGTTCTGAAGATCACCTGGGAAGGAATCCCACTGGAGCACTGCAGCGCACCCAAATACCTGGGAGTCACTCTGGACCGTGCTCTGACCTACAAGAAGCACTGCCTGAACATCAAGCAAAAAGTGGGTGCTAGAAACAATATCATATGAAAGCTGACTGGCACAACTTGGGGATCACAACCAGATACAGTGAAGATATCTGCCCTTGCGCTGTGCTACTCTGCTGTTGAGTATGCATGCCCAGTATGGAACACATCTCACCACACTAAAACAGTGGATGTGGCTCTTAATGAGACATGCCGCATTATCACGGGGTGTCTGCGCCCTACACCACTGGAGAAATTACACTGTCTAGCTGGTATCGCACCACCTGACATCTGCTGGGAAGTGGCAGCCAATAGTGAAAGGACCAAGGCAGAGACATCTCCAGCTCATCCCCTGTTTGGGTATCAGCCAGCACGTCAACGACTTAAATCAAGAAATAGTTTTCTAAGATCTACAGAGACACTCGCTGGAACACCTCAGCAAGCGAGAGTCCAAAAGTGGCAGGCTCAAACCCAGAACCTCTATCAATGGCTGATACCAAATGAGAGACTCCCTCCTGGGTACACAGAAGACTGGGTGACTTGGAAGGCACTGAACAGACTGCGCTCTGGCACCACGAGATGCAGAGCCAACCTCCAGAAATGGGGCTACAAAGTGGAATCCTCGACATGCGAGTGTGGAGAGGAGCAAACCACTGACCACCTGCTGCAATGCAACCTGAGCCCTGCCACATGCACAATGGAGGACCTTCTTGCAGCAACACCAGAAGCACTCCAAGTGGCCAGATACTGGTCAAAGGACATTTAATCCATTACCAAACTCACACATTTTGTATTTTCTCTGTTTGTTTGCTTTGTTCTGTTAGAAATGTAATATAACTGACTGGCTGCCCTGACACGAGAAATAAATAAACTTTTTCCTAAAGGAAAGAAGGGACATCAATAATCTAATTTCACCAGGAAGTGAATTCCACGGGTGGGGGGCCACCACCGAGAAGGCCCTGTCCCTCGTCCCCACCAAGCGCGTTTGCGACAGAGGCGGTGCCAAGAGCCGGGCCTCTCCAGAAGATCTTAAACTCCGAGGTGGGATGTAGAAGGAGATACGTTCAGACAGGTCCGCTGGGTCAGAACCGTATCTACAACTATTATTTATATTACTACTATTTATATACATTTTTCACAAAATGGGGACTCAGAATAAGTGACAAAGATTTTAAAAATTCCACCAAGAATGGTTCTTTTCCTTTGCTAACTTCATCTTTCTCCCAGGAGTTGTTTACAAATTAGTTGTTAAATTATATAAGTGACTCCCTTCCTTCATATACTTTTTTTTTTTTTTGCAACAAGAGCCAAATTGAAAGAGTCTGACCAGAAAGAACAGAGAAGAAGCTGTTTTGGTCCACGAGAAGAAGAGCCCGCTCAGTACAGTAGCCAAAAAGCAAGAGATATCTACTTGTTTGCTCTTTAGCTATGTCTGGACGACAATGCCTGAAGAGATGGAAAGGAAGACAGAAGACACAAAGGATGGAAGACAGCACAATACATGCTGGAGCTTCACGGCCAAACCAAAGCAGAAGGAATTACTTACAATAGACTGTTAAAATGATGGCGGTCTGAGTTCGGGTATTCAAATGCAAATTCTGGGCCAAGCAAGTGTAGATGCCTGTTTGGGTCCGCAAGATCCTGGGAATCACGTACTTCTGACCTGAATGGACTTGAGAGCTGTTGTAGAACCAAATGTAATGGCTGGGCGGGTTAGAAAGAGCCAGGCAGGTCATGATCACCTCTTCCTGTTCATTGGCCAAGAAGCCATGTTGGTTGACAGCAAATGGCTCCACACTGATCACTGGTTCATCAGGACCATCTACAGGACAGATCAGGATGTACTTAGTAGTGCAACCAATGTGAGAAGGATGAAGCTCCAGAAGCTTAGATTTTTTACTTATGGCCACCTATGGCACATATTAATGGACACATGTTTAAACTTATGGCTCAAATTTAGTGTGAACTTTCACCTTCCTCCAGTGTCTTACAGGAGTTGTTGTTTGTTGGGAAAGTTGAGACTTCTTAGTCCATGCACTGAGCCATCAAGCCTAGTACCTCCCAAGGATAAGGAGGGACTATTAAACCAGTTTTAATTTATTTTGCATCAAAAGCATTGCATATCTATATAAATAAAAACGTAATGTTCGTTTGTGGGATTAACGTAACTCAAAAAGCATTGCATATCTATATAAATAAAAAATGTAATTGTTGTAGGTTTTTCCGGGCTATATGGCCATGTTCTGGAGGCAATTTTTCTCCTGACGTTTCGCCTGCATCTATGGCAAGCATCCTCAGAGGTAATGAGGTCAGGAGAAAAATTGCCTCCAGAACATGGCCATATAGCCCGGAAAAACCTACAACAACCCATGGATTCCGGCCATGAAAGCCTTCGACAAAAAATGTAATGTTTGTTTGTCGGATTAACAGAACTCAAAAACCACTGAACAAATTGCCACCATATTTGGACACAATACACGTAATACCCCAAGGAGTAACCATCACTAAAAAAATGGATTACGTCATTCGGGAGTTGTAGTTGCTGGGATTTACAGTTCACCTACAATCAAAGAGCATTCTGAACCCCACCAATGATGGAATTGAACCAAACTTGGCATACAGGACTCCCACAATCAATAGGGTTTGGTGGGCATTGACCTTGGGTTTGGGAGTTGTAGTTCACCTACATCCAGAGAGCACTGTGGATTCAAACAATTATGGATCTGGACCAAACTTGGCACAAATACTCCATATGCTCAAATGTGAACACAGGTGGAATTTGGGGAAAATAGACCTTGACATTTGGAAGTTGTAGTAACAGGGATTTATAGTTCACTTACGATCAAAGAGCATTCTGAACCCCACCAACAATAAAATTGGGCCAAAAATCCCACACAGGACCCTCATGACCAACAGAAAATACTTCTGACACYCCCTCATGATCCCCCCAGGGCTCCCAACCCCCAGGTTGAGAAATGCTGCCTTAAGGCCATCCAGTCCAACTCCCTTCACCAGGGCAAGAAAACATAATCAGAGCCCTCCTGATAAAGAGTTATCCAGCCATAGATATATATGAATCACGCACGGACACACACACACACATATATGGCAGATATAATATCATAGATTTGAAAGGGACCCCTAAAGAAGGACAATTATATGTTGCACATTCTAGAGTAGGCAAACMAGACAATCTCTAAATCAACACTGACAAAGAAACAACAAGAAGTACTGTTTACCCACAAGCATAAAGAAATTACATATATATTAGAAACCAACACTTTCTGATTACTTTATTTTCCAGATCACCAGACTGGGCCACAGCAATRCATGGTAGGGGACAGCTAGTATTAGTATAAAACTGATAAAAATAGAAGGCATACAGGCGGCTAAATATCTTTTGACCAAAAACGGGCAACAGCAATGCCATTGTCTGTAGTCTCCAACAATTCCTCCTCTGTAGATGAGGCAGGGCACAATGGACAAGCATACAGATGTGGAGTTGTCTGTTCTGCTTCACAGTCACACAAGGTTTGGGATTCTTTTAGGTCGTGCCATTTTGCCAGGTTGTCTTTTGATCTGCCCACTCCGCTTCTGAGTCTGTTCAGAGACTTCCAAGTTGCCCATTCTTGGTTTGCCCCTGGAGGAAGACTCTCGTGGGGGGCATCCAGTTGGGATTTCTTGGTTTAGCTGCTCAAAGGGATACCCTTTCTGTTGCAGGGGGAAAACGCCAAGAGGAGTGGTAGCTATGTAGTGGGTGGCTTTCACAGTGTTCAACCTTATTTGGGGGACATGGAAGGAGCCTCCTCGAAGACTGAATAAATACAGTCGGGCATCCCCCAGGCAACGTTTCTTATAGACAGCTAATATTTCCAAATCCAAAAGCATTGTTTTTAAGTTGTGGTGAAAGTATACCCTGGACCTCATCACACTAGAGCAGTGTATCTCAACCTGGGGTTCAGTACCCTGTGGGGGAGTGGTGAGGGGGTGCCAAAGGGGTCCCCAAAGACCATCAGAAAACATAGTATTTTCTATTGGTCATGGGGTTCTGTGTGGGAAGTTTGGTCCAATTCTATCATTGGTGGAGTTCAGAATGTTCTTTGATTGTGAGTGAACTATAAACCCCAGCAACTACAACTCCCAAATGTCAAGGTCTGTTTTTCCCAAACTCCACCAGTGTTCACCTTTGGGCATATTGAGTATTCATGCCATGTTTGGTCCACATTCATAATTATTTGAGTCCACAGCTCTCTCTGGATGTAGGTGAACTGCAACTCCAAAATGCAAGGTCAGTGCTCACCAAACCCTTCCAGTATTTTATGTTGGTCATGGGAGTTCGGTGTGCCAAGTTTGGTTCAATTCCATCATTGGTGGAGTTCAGGATGCTCATTGATTGTAGATTAACTATAAATCCCAGCAACGACAACTCCCAAATGGCAAGATCTATTTTCCCAAACTCCAACAGATTTCACATTTGGGCATATTAAGTATTCGTGACAAATTTGTTCCAGATCTCTCTTTGTTTGAGTCCACAGTGCTTTCTGGATGTAGGTGAACTACAACTCCAAAACTCAATCCTCATCAAACCCTTCCAGTATTTTATGTTGGTCATGGGAGTTCTGTGTGCCAAGTTTGGCCCAATTCCTCCCAGATACCTCCATTAAATTCATGGGGGGTTCTGCGTGGGATGTTTGACCCAATTCTTTCATTGGTGGGGTTCAGAATGCTCTTTGATTGTAGGTGAACTATAAATCCCAGCAACTACAACTCCCAAATGACAAGGCCTATTTTCCCCCAAACTCTACCAAATTCACATTTGGGTATATCGGGTATTTGTGCCAAATTGGGTCCAGTGAATGAAAATACATCCTGCATATTAGATATTTACATTACGACTCATAACAGTAGCAAAGTTACAGTTATGAAGCAGCAACGGAAATAATGTTATGGGGGGGGGGGTCACCACAACATGACAAACTGTATTAAGTAGTCACAGCATTAGGAAGGTTGAGAACAACTGCACTAGAGAATGGATCCACTTTAATTCAGTTTTTATCTTCTGCAGAATTGGGAGGGATCGCCAATACTCCAGAGGACAGGAGCAGAATTCAAAACGATCTTGACAGATTAGAGAGATGGGCCAAAACTAACAAAATGAAGTTCAACAGTGACAAATGCAAGATACTCCACTTTGGCAGGAAAAACTAAATGCAAAGATACAGAACGGGGGACAATGCCTGGCTCAAGAGCAGTACGTGTGAAAAAGATCTTGGGGTCCTTCTGGACAACAAGTTAAACATGAGCCAACAATGTGATGTGGCGGCAAAAAAAAGCCAATGGGATTTTGGCCTGCATCAATAGGAGCATAGTGTCTAGATCTAGGGAAGTAATGCTACCCCTCTATTCCGCTTTGGTTAGACCACACCTGGAATATTGTGTCCAATTCTGGGCACCACAATTGAAGGGAGATATGTGGAATGTGTCCAGAGGAGTGCGACTAAAGTGATCAAGGCTCTGGAGAACAAGCCCTATGAGGAGCAGCTTAAGGAGCTGGGCATGTTTAGCCTGAAGAAGAAAAGAATGAGGGGAGATATGATAGCCATGTATAAATATGTGAGAGGAAGCCACAGGGAGGAGGGAGCAAGCTTGTTTTCTGCTTCCCTGGAGACTAGGACAAGGAACAATGGCTTCAAACTACAAGAAAGGAGATTCCATCTGAACATGAGGAAGAACTTCCTGACTGTGAGAGCCGTTCAGCAGTGGAACTCTCTGCCCCGGAGTGTGGTGGAGGCTCCTTCTTTGGAAGCTTTTAAACAGAGGCTGGATGGCCATCTGTCAGGGGTGATTTGAATGCAATATTCCTGCTTCTTGGCAGGGGGTTGGACTGGATGGCCCATGAGGTCTCTTCCAACTCTTTGATTCTACGATTCTGGGGCTTGTAGTTTAGGGTGGGGCCTTTAAACTGCTCAGCCAGAGAGGTCCTGGCCCTCACTAAACTACAAACCCCAGAATTCTGCACAAGACAGAAATGGGATTTAAAGTGGATCCATGCTCTAGTGTGATGAGGATTACTACTATTGTTCCATGTACAAATTGCTTGCATCTCCATCCATCTTCTTTGAAATTCATTGCCACATCACGCCCGCTTGCCTCTCTCACACAGCACTTTTCAGGAAGTACCTGAAAATATTTATTTTCCAAGTCTATTATTCCTCATCTGTCTTTTTTTTACTGTAAGGTTTAGATTTATCCCTCCCTCTACTGTTTCCCCAAGATAAATCAAAGTTTCTCTGCGCTTCATATGTCTCTCATTGTGGAATAAAAAGCAACGTTGGAAAGATAATGTATGTCAGGAAAATAGGCGGAAGGAAAAGAATTAAACAAAGTTTGGAAGCTGAATATTACCAAAAAAAAGTTGCTAGTAACCGGTTGGTGAACTCAACTCACTTTTCAGTTTGTTTCAGAGGTTACAATTCAGACCACAACAACGACAACCGAATTTCTCTCCAAAGCCCCACTTGTAAGCAGGACATGCACATTTATTTTATTTTATTTGTAATCGGATGCCCTACAAGGACAAGGACAAGGACAAGGAAGGTATATAAATATAGTAAATAAATACATAAGCCGATGAGCCAGCATTGCCCGTAGACACCTCCAAGGTCATGTGGCCGGCATGACTGCATGGAGCGCCGTTACCTTCCCGCCGGAGCGGTACCTATTGATCTACTCACATTTGCATGTTTTCAAACTGCTAGGTTGGCAGAAGCTAGGGCTGACAGCGGAAGCTCACGCCGCTCCCCGGAATCGAACCTGCGACCT